AAAAGTGTTCGGGTTCACAGCCTACCTTTGGAATCTGTACTGCGCTTTTTTGACCCATACTCAATTGATGGGTCATTATGGTCTGGTAAGAGGCAGCATTTTTTGGGGTGTTGGTGATGGTGGACTTTTTCAACTGATTGGAACTTTTATTTTGGAATTTATATGACATCATCACTATTCAAGTAAAGAGGGGTCTAACTTTACCCATACTATACACCATTGGACTTTTAATTATATATATTTTCTTTTTTGTTCTGTTTTGATTATCTGAAGTGCCACACCTCTGTGTTTTATGTTTATGTGTTGTTGCTTGCAATACTGTGGTGGCTGCTTACTTTTTGTATCAATTGATGTGTGTTACTTATACATTATAGCACAGAAGTGTTAAAATTATTATAATAATTATCACTGCCTTAGCCCAGAAAACCAGGGCACCCTAGTTTGCCAATAGCTGCAAAAGCTGATTTGTCCCAAACCTTTCCTGAGTCTCAGTACTGACCCATTACTGGGACGAGCAGCCTTGCTCCTGGGATTCATGACACAATACAAAGACAACTTACTACTAATATTCAAGCCAAAGGTTTGCTTTAACCACTTGCCCTCCAGAGGATTTACCCCCCATCCTGACCAGGCCACTTTTGCGATACGGTGATGCGTTACTTTAACTGACAATTGCGCGGTCATGTAATGCTGCACCCAAATTAAATTTATATCCTTTTTCCCCACAAATAGAGCTTTCTTTTGGTGGTATTTGATCGCCTCTGCATTTTTTTTTTTTTGCGCTATAAACAAAAAAAGACTGACAATTTTGAAAAAAAATATTTTTTACTTCTGGCTATAAAACATGTTCAGTAAAAAAATGTACAAAATCAAATTTCCTTATATATTTAGGCCAAAATGTATTCTGCTATATGTCTTTGCAAAAAAAAATCCCAATACCTGTAAATTAATTAATTTACGTGAAAATTATAACATCTACAAATGGCGGTATATATATATATATATATATATATATATATATATATGTATATATATAGTTGCGTGGAGTTTTGCATGAATTGGGCATAAAATGTGCTCTGAAACATCATCTGTAAGTCACAACAATAGAAGAACACAGTCTTCTGAACATAATACTACACAAACATTAGATGTTGCCATGGTTTAATTGCACATAACATGTAAACATTCACAGTGCAGGGAGGAAAAAGTATGGTGATCAACATCTGTAGCTGCCAATGGCGGCGCTGGTAGGGTGATGCGCACATGTGTACCCCCTACCTGGTGATGCAAAATCACGTATATATAGTAGTAGTTCTGCAATAGGGTGGAAGCAGTTAAAGGGCATTGCAACATGAGCTAACCTATAACAACGTATAAGAATCGTCTACTGTAAAGTCAATCAGCACATAGCCATTGCACTTTACATTCTTTATTTAAAGCGGAGTTCCACCTAAAAATAAATGACTAAAAGTCAGCAGCTACAAAAACTGTAGCTGCTGACTGTTACAATACAGCCATTTACCTGTCCCTCGGTCCAGCAGTGTCTTCACCACCGCTGGTTTCACTGGCCATCTTCTCTACCTGGTGCTGGCATATTCATTGTGGGCACGCGGCTGTAACAGCTTGCGGCTGCACAGCTGGGTGCCCACTGCGCATGAGCAAGAAGCGCTCCGATTTGTGAATGGCCCCGTAGTCTTCTGAGACCTGTCATGTGTCCCAGAAGACTTTGGGGAGGGAAGGGGGGAGGACAACCTCCGCTTCCCATCACCTAGGCAACTGTAGCAGAAGTGGGAGTGGGTAACCGATTCCTCCCCCCCCCCCGCTCCCCAAAGGTGCCAATCCTTAATGGGGAGCGGGGGACAAAGCCTTAAAGCGGACCTTCCCCTTTTGGGTGGAGCTCCGCTTTAATAAGACTGAAAGTAGGGTTGGCTACTACCACTCTGATTGCTGGTTGATTATTTAAAAATTACAGGTTCTACTAGATACCTATTGTGCATTCTTTATTTCAGTAATAGATTTTATTATGTATCCAGGGATGGCAATGACAAATGAGTTCATAAGCCTACTAATAATTTTATATTTCAATAGCATAAGAGGCCTTCCAAGTCAACTGTTAATGTGTATGATTAATATGGGAAGTTGCAGCATTAATTTGTATTTCATATTTTGAACAAAGTGCATGAAAAATGATAAAACAGAAAAGAATCATTAAGTCAACTGGGTAACAGATATGTAAAACCTAAACATTAAAATAAATCTATTTTCCATTTTGACCTCAGAACCTCTTCAATTAATTACTAAAATCTATATACACAGCAGTCAGGGGAAATCAATTATGTATCTAGCAGGATTTTAGCATTGCTTTTTCCATTTCTCCCAACAACTAACACTAATGGGGGCTATTCATCACAGTCTCCCACCTGTAAATACAGTAAAAAGAGACTTGTAAATGGTAATAAGCTTACTTGTCACATCAAATGAGATCATGAAACCACTAAAATTAGCTGGCATTTGTTTCTATATCATCCATGGAAGGTGATTGAATAGTGTCACATCTTGTGCGCTGAGCTGTGTATTTAGTAATGACATTTTACCAATCATATTAACTGCTTTCAATCGAACCTTTCATCAGGGAAATATGAGGGGTGGGACATTGTGACATTCTGAAAATTCTAGATGCCTGGCTGTTATGCTGACCTTCTCTCTTTAAAATGTCTTGTTTCACTAACTTGCAACAAGTATGCAATTCGGGAAAGTTAGAAATCTTTATTGCATACCTTGTTCCAGGCTATTGAATCAAAGTATTGAAGCAAGATGATCAACATAACAATCAGACAGCTACTATTTGCAAAATGGGCAACCAGCAAGGCATAGGATCACCATGCTTGAGGCCTTGCAACTATGGTGATGTTAGCACACGCAGCTAGCATATAGTGGCATAGCAAAGCTAACAACAAAACAAAAACTGTATCAAGCTCAATCTTTCTAATTCTAATAGTGAGTTATTAGTGTTGTTCCAGAAAAAGGCAAAGTAATTCCTAGGTAAACCTGCTAACAACACAGTGTCGCAGTAGAAAGAATACATTTTCTGGTACATCATGGCAGCAACCAATGGTTGTGGTTCCACCCCTGTAATCTGATAGGACTGGTTAACTATGAATCAAAGACAGATCCTGCTCACAGCCTTCTCTTTTTTGTCCTCGCCTGATCAGATTTGGAGTCATGGCAAAAAGCCTGGAATTCCAGTTTCTTTGCTGCTACCTTGAACAGGTCGAATTGAGCTTTTGAGTGCAATGGCATTGGTGAGATGTACAAGCCAACTATAGGTGTTTGGCTTTTTCATTGACTTACCTTGTCTTTTTAGTAGTTTGGACACCTGTGGTTGCTGTGGCAATCATGCAAGTACTGTCTTCTTCTATTGCTGTATCATTCAAACCATGCCTGTCACTGACCTGTGACCTGTAGTAAATGCATTTTATTGTCTTTGTTCTGGTTCTATTTGTGTATGTGGTTTTTCACAATATAAATATGGAAAAAAAATCCTAGAATCCCTTATCATCAGAAACTACAGTTCTCACAAATGGGTCTGGACTAGGGCCTAGGGTCCGTACTTTAAAAATTCAGGTCTATCCTACAGAAGTGGCTACTAACCCTGAAATCCATATTTCTGGTTTCTACAACTTCTGCAAAAGGGGTGTCAGAACTGCAGGCTTTTGTGCATGAGGTGTCCAACCTAACTTTCTACCCAGACCAAGTAGTACTACATTTTTCAGACAGCTTATTCTCTAAAGCATCTCTCTGCTTCCACTTTAACCAGGAAGTCATCCCCTGAATGATGGCCTAACTCTTAAGGCCTGCTTGGCAGTCACCTCTTCATTCAGGCAAGCTGAGAGTCTGTTTTTGGTCCTGCGTGGCAAGGAAAGGAAAGTCAGCATCAACATGTACAGTCACCTCTGGATTGTTAAAACAATTAAAAGAGCCTAGTCTTCACAAAACCTTCTTGTTCTGGAGGACTTAAGAGCACATTCAACCAGGGCAGCATCAACTCTGTGGACAGCTCAGTGCCAAGAATCTCTTGAGGCTACATTGTCTCCATGCAACACCTTCATCACACTTTATAAGAAGGACCCAGCTCAGCTTACGTTACTAGAATTTGTAAAATGTGTTGTTCAGGTGAGTTGGTTCCCATTGTATGCTGCCACGATGCTCCAGGATAAAGAAAAATTGTATATTCACCTTTCCATAATTTTTCTTTCCTATTGCATCTTCATGGCAGCATATAATTCCCACCCAATGATGAGAGTTACAGTGAAGGTTGTGAGCTGGATCTGTCTTTGATTTATAGTTAACCAGTCCTATCAGGTTGCAGGGATGGAGCCACAATCATTGTATGCTGCCATGAAGATGCACCAGGAAAGGAAATTTATGGAAAGGTGAGTCTACAATGTTCCGTTTTTTGAGCACATGATTGACTATCAGATTACCTTCCTTCATCAATTAATCCAGCAATGAATCCAACTGTTTTTAGATAGAGATGACATACAACTAATAAGCCAGACATCCGGGCTACATTTAAATGACCATATATTTGTGGCCATAACCTTTGTTTTTAGAAGAGTGTTCCAGATTCTGATCACTCTGGCACTAAAAAATCCCTTTCTTTGCTGATAAAAAGGTATGTTGATTCAAGTCCATGGAGATGTCACCTTGTCACGTCCTTAGGGCAGATAGCTAATCAGACGGTTCTTTAAATATTTATAATAATAATGATTAGAGCTCCTCAAAAGTAACTATTTTCTACAATACATATATTTAAATCTTTGTGAGGCATCTACTAATTCTAACTATATTACCGATAGCTTGTCTGTTCCCTTTCCAGACAGGTTGGAAAGCTATAGATCTATCAGTTACCTTGTATTTGTATATTGACATCAATATTCTAAGCAGCAAATCTACTTACTTAAAAGGTTTTTCCCCTGTGTGAGTACGGATGTGGTTGTTTAATGTAGTAGCACCAGCAAACGCCCTGCCACAGTAGCCACACTTGAAAGGCCGATCACTGGAATGGGTGACGACATGATTCCTTAATTCCGATGGTTGGGAAAAGGATTGGGAACAATGCCCACACTGGTAAGGCCTAAAAGATAGACAGACACAGTTAGGCTGCATGTTCAAAATGTGACTTCAATCCCCTCCAGGTAATCTATATACATTGCAAGGATTTCCACAGATGTATCCCTTTCTCTTTAATAAAGATTTGCTGTTTGATTCAAGGTATCTTTTCTAATACTGATTTCTAATTGGGGGAGTCAACCTTAATTATAACCACCAGCTAAACTTTCAATGTTGCAATCAGGAAATCTGCAGTGTCTTCATGCCTTTAGAAGTGGTCAAGCCTAAAACAATCTCGCCAAAAATCAAATTCCTTTTGTAGGGGAAACCTAAACTTGCTCAACATTTTAGTGCAGACTTCTGAGAAAAACAGTAAGCTAATCACAAAACCAGGCCATTTCTGGGGACGTGCATCCAGGTTGTCATGTTGCAAAGAAGGTAAGTTACAAATTGTTAATTTTCAAAATCTACAGTGTGTGGAGATTGAAGAGTTTATAACTGGAGCTTTATTTAAAATGAACTGAAGGCAAATGCATAATTAACTGTACACATTTTATAGAAAAAGATCACATTATAATTAATATTTTGATCTATAACAAAACTAATGGTAGACTATAATTTAGAATCAGATCATTGGAGAGGATAAATCAAAGGCCAAGTGTTTTTGGTATTTTATCTAACTGTGTTTGTAGGTGTAAGGTTCCTTTCACATCTGGCTGTTCCATGCATTACCACATTAATGAACATATTTCATCCATTAAAATACAAATTTAACTTGTTAACGAGTGTTGCATTAAGACATTCAATTCATTTTGAATGGGATTAAAATGCATGGCAATAGAACAATATATGTTTTTTTTAAACACAGTGCACCACAATACACATGCTATATTTTTGCATTGGAGTGTCATTCTAAATTAATGACACCTCAGCACACTACACATAGGTCCATGCATTACTGTGCATTGTTATAACTCACTGGAGTAGATTTACTAAAATTGTGCACTCAGAATCTGGCGCAGCTGTGCATGGTAGCCAATCAGCTTCTAACTTCAGCTTGTTCAATTAAGCTTTGACAATAAAACCTGAAAGCTGAGTTATTTATGCTGAGTTGCACCAGATTTTACACTCTTCAGTTTTAGTAAATAACCCCTACAATAACACACAGGTGTGAAGCCAGCATAAGACTGAATCTGAATAGAAGGAACATGTTCTATGGGAAATTCATCCAAGTCAAATTTCTGTACAGTAGGACAAGGTTCAATCCTCAGTCATCTCTGTACCAGTACCACTGTCTAGGATCCTGGATAAGAGGTCTCCCCGTACAGTGAAAGCCTAAGCTCAATATTTTATGCAACAAACTGTAGACATAAGTAACGTTATATAAGTTGAAACACAAAGATTTTCTTGTGTACTTATAATCACAAACTTTATCTATAGACATTATTTTTTTAAATATTGGGACTCTTAATGACAGTCCCAATAGTAGCTGGCTTTTAATAGGCTTTAAGCCATACAGTTACTAGCAGGTTGGATAAAATAAATAATTGAATAAGCAACAACTTTCTGCCCTGCTGATTATTTGCTACCTTGGTCTTCAGTCTGTATAGCCCAACAAAATTATGCCCTGAAAATACCTGATATCAATCAATTTGGTTTTTTTAAGCATATCATGTCACTTGTCATTGCTCTGTTTCATAAGGCAAAGGGCTCAATTCACAGATTTATATAATTTTATATTTCAGATTTAATATTTTTATTTTAAAAAAAGCGCATGCGTTTTGAAGGAATGGCATACCTGTGCTGTTCCTTTAGATCTGTGTACTGTGACCAAGACTCCCACGCGTATGTGTGGGAGTGACATCATTGGTGGCTCAACCATTCAAGCAGCCGCAGCCAGCAAACCCAGAAGGAAGATCAGGTGAAGAAGGAAGCCCTGTCTTGATGTCAGTGGTGACAGCACTGAGCTGGAGGGCTTCGTTCTAAGGTAAGTCCCTCATATGCGATGCATACTAGCACATTATGATATTGCTTTGCATCAGGAAACCTTTTTTTTTTTCAAACGCGTTTACTACCACTTTAAGATAAAAATCTTTATGCTGGTGTTAAAGGTTTATAAATTAAGCCTGAAGTATGTAAAAATTTTCAGAAATTCCTAGTTCTTATTTACTCTTGCTGTTTTTTCAGTGGTTAAAATAAATAAATATTCTGTACTTACAGGGTTTTAAGTCTTTTATTTAATAGCCCAGCTCCGAAGATTTGATTCCTCAGGGCTGACGGAAATGAAGATTATTTAAAAGATGTTTAAAGTCACCTAGTTGATTAAAAGTCTTTCACTAATGGCCAAGACTCACGTTATTTCTCATTTAAGATTCTGTAATGTCTGTCTTCTGTTCTTAATTCTATTAAGGTAATGTTCTCAATTTAATAAATAGAGCATGTTGCTAATATTGAGCAGATTGTTAATAATTGCATTTAGGTGCCCACAATGGAAAATAACTTAGCTGCACACTGAGATAAAGAGGTGGTGCTGGCAGCAGCACAGGGATTGGGGCCAAGAATTAACCTTCCATCTGGATGTGCTAACGTTGTTTTCTGTATCACAAAACTTTCCTTCCACTGAATTTAAAAAAAAAAACTCAATTTACATATTTAGAAAAAAAAACCCAAACACTGGACTAACAGTTCTGCACAAAATATAGTACTCATTAGCCCCTTAATGATATATATATATATATATATATATATATATATATATATATATATATATATACACACACACACACACAGTCAGTTCCATAAATATTGTGACATCGACACAATTCTAACATTTTTGGCTCTATACACCACCACAATGGATTTGAAATTAAACGAACAAGATGCGCTTTAACTGCAGACTGTCAGCTTTAATTTGAGGGTATTTACATCCAAAATCAGGTGAACGGTGTAGGAATTACAACAGTTTGCATATGTGCTTCCCACTTGTTAAGGGACCAAAAGTAATGGGACAATTGGCTTCTCAGCTGTTCCATAGCCAGGTGTGTGTTATTCCCTCATTATCCCAATTGCAATGAGCAGATAAAAGGTCCAGAGTTCATTTCAAGTGTGCTATTTGCATTTGGAATCTGTTGCTGTCAACTCTCATGATGAGATCCAAAGAGCTGTCACTATCAGTGAAGCAAGCCATCATTAGGCTGAAAAAAACAAAACAAACCCATCAGAGAGATAGCAAAAACATTAGGTGTGGCCAAAACAACTGTTTGGAACATTCTTAAAAAGAAGGAACGCACCGGTGAGCTCAGCAACACCAAAAGACCCGGAAGACCACGGAAAACAACTGTGGTGGATGACCGAAGAATTCTTTCCCTGGTGAAGAAAACACCCTTCACAACAGTTGGCCAGATCAAGAACACTCTCCAGGAGGTAGGTGTATGTGTGTCAAAGTCAACAATCAAGAGAAGACTTCATCAGAGTGAATACAGAGGGTTCACCACAAGATGGAAACCATTGGTGAGCCTCAAAAACAGGAAGGCCAGATTAGAGTTTGCCAAACAACATCTAAAAAAGCCTTCACAGTTCTGGAACAACATCCTATGGACAGATGAGACCAAGATCAACTTGTACCAGAGTGATGGGAAGAGAAGAGTATGGAGAAGGAAAGGAACTGCTCATGATCCTCAGCATACCACCTCATCAGTGAAGCATGGTGGTGGTAGTGTCATGGCATGGGCATGTATGGCTGCCAATGGAACTGGTTCTCTTGTATTTATTGATGATGTGACTGCTGACAAAAGCAGCAGGATGAATTCTGAAGTGTTTCGGGCAATATTATCTGCTCATATTCAGCCAAATGCTTCAGAACTCATTGGACGCCGCTTCACAGTGCAGATGGACAATGACCCAAAGCATACTGCAAAAGTAACCAAAGAGTTTTTTAAGGGAAAGAAGTGGAATGTTATGCAATGGCCAAGTCAATCACCTGACCTGAATCCGATTGAGCATGCATTTCACTTGCTGAAGACAAAACTGAAGGGAAAATGCCCCAAGAACAAGCAGGAACTGAAGACAGTTACAGTAGAGGCCTGGCAGAGCATCACCAGGGATAAAACCCAGCGTCAGGTGATGTCTATGCGTTCCAGACTTCAGGCTGTAATTGACTGCAAAGGATTTGCAACCAAGTATTAAAAAGTGTAAGTTTGTTTTATGATTATTATTCTGTCCCATTACTTTTGGTCCCTTAACAAGTGGGAGGCACATATGCAAACTGTTGTAATTCCTACACCGTTCACCTGATTTGGATGTAAATACCCTCAAACTAAAGCTGACAGTCTGCAGTTAAAGCACATCTTGTTCGTTTCATTTCAAATCCATTGTGGTAGTATATAGAGCCAAAAATGGACCTGACTGGATATACTATATATATATATATATATATATATATATATATATATATCATTCAAGCGTGGTACCATGATAGATTGCCACCTGTGCAGTAAATCCATCTGTGAAATGTCCTTGCTACTAAATATTCCATGATCAACTGTTAGTGGTATTATAACAAAGTGGAAGCAACTGGGAACAACAGCAACTCAACCACAAAGTGGCAGGCTACGTAAAATGACAGAGCAGGGTCAGCGCATTCTGAAGCCCACAGTACGCAGAAGTCAGCAACTGTCTGCAGAGTCAATAGCTAAAGACCTCCAAACTTTGTGTGGCCTTCAGATTAGCACAACATGGCCATGGCCGAGCAGCTGCATCCAAGCCTTACATCACCAAGTGCAATGCAAAGTATCGGATGCAGTGGTGTAAAGCACGCCACCACTGGACTCTAGAGCAGTGGAGACGTGTTCTCTGGGGTGATGAATCACGCTTCTCTGTCTTGCAATCCGATGTACATGTCTGGGTTTTGTTGTTGCCAGGAGAACGGTACTTGTCTGACTGCATTGTGCCAAGTGTAAAGTTTGGTGGGGGGGGGGGGGATTATGGTGTGGGGTTGTCTTTCAGGGGTTGGGCTTGGACCCTTAGTTCCAGAGAAGTGAACTTTTTGCATCAGCATACCAAGAAATTTTGAACAATTTCATGCTCCCAACTTTGTGGGAACAGTTTGGGGATGGCCCCTTCCTGTTCCAACATGACTGCGCACCAGCTCACAAAGCAAGGTCCATAAAGACATGGATGAGCGAGTTTGGAGTGGAGGAACTTGACTGGCCTGCACAGAGTCCTGACCTCAACCCGATAGAACACCTTTGGGATGAATTAGAATGGAGACTGCAAGCTGGGCCTTCTCGTCTGACGTCAGTGCCTGACCTCACAAATGCCCTTCTGGAAGAATGGTCAAACATTCCCATAGACACACTCCTAAACCTTGTGGATAGCTTTCCCAGAAGAGTTGAAGCTGTTATAGCTGCAAAGAGTGGGCCAACTATATGAATCAATGTTGAACCATATGGACTAAGACTGAGATGCCATTAAAATTCATGTGCGTGTAAAGGCAGGCGTCCCAATACTTTTGACAATCTAGTGTATACATATACAGTGTATGTGTGTGTATATATATATATACATACACATACACACACACACACACACACACACACACACACACACACACACGTGTGGGGTGGAGAAAAAGCAGAGCACCGATCTTCCCAGTGAGTGTGCTGTTCAGGTATTTTTTTAAATTAAATGTTATTAAATTATTGCCTTGCCATTTGAACTTGCATCTGATTTTCTAAAAATTGAAAAAAAAACTAAATTGCCTATTCCATCTAACCAAGGCAGCTGTGGAGGTGATACATTGTTCTACACAGACCAAGAGATGTCATATTATTCTCATGTGAATGGCATACTGCTTCTTAGTCAGAAAAATAAGTCTTGCTAGATCCTGCTAGATCCCTTCAGGCTTGCAGGCATAGCTATGTAACACATTAAAAATAAGTGGCTATACTGTTTAAAATCCAGTAATACACTGTCTCACCTTGCTCAGCACATGGTCTCTATTTTTTTGCATTGTGCCAAAAATCAGAGCCACTAGGGGCTGATCTTCTGATGACCTAAATATTTACGACTGCCCAGGGGCTCTGGGCTTCAGCAAAATGGCAGCCTCAGGCAAGAAGAAACAGGATCAATCCTGGAGGCGATTTACATCACATACTAATTTTGGTAGCAGAATTACTAATGTGGAATGTATGTTCCTTGATATGAAGAACATTATTTTTTACATTTTCCATTCAAGCATATGTTTTATTCACTACACTGAACCAGTACCAAGTTCTAATGTAACTAAACGACTGAAGGTAATTTTTTTATGTTTTTGCCTTATTATTATTTGATATTTTGATTATTGTATTTTGTATACAGTTTTGTAAATCCCTTCCTTTCTCTCCAGTGTTTATCTGTATATTTTTACCTCACAATTGTTGGGATAAATACCTCCTTATAGAAAAAATGTTGATTTGCCTTCAGGACAGACCTTGCACTAAAGCAGGTCATTGTGCAAAACAACTAAGCAAACAGAACATACATATATAATGCAGATATGAGTCGACCCCATGTACATATGAGATTACAAACTACATATAAATGTAAAGTTATTTTTTAACCATTAACACTTATTTTGTAAGATGCAAAATATTAGTGTGATTGCATTTCCATATATGGTAAAAAAAAATAAAAAATATAATTTCACCTTGATGAGTAACACATACTGTACTAATTAATTAAATGCCAATATGTACTTGTTGGAAAACTTGGTTAAGGTGGACAGTAATGAATGTTCTAGTTAATGGAATGCCTGTTGGCTTAATTTGTGCTGCACATTGCCATCTAATGTATCTCAGCACTTATTGCACAAGTCTTGTAGATACTTTGCAAAGGAAACCAAGCGTATAATAAGAGGCATTATAAATTAACCTTTTTGACCTTGCTGTCGGCTATGGACACACATTTAATTATTCCAACTTTACGGGCAGCTCAACAAATTCTTCTACCTGAAGCTTCAGCAGAGTGCCACTTAAGGACACTTCATGTGAAATATACATAAGCTTCAATACTGATAGTGAAGTCTACCATTCTACACTCTGTTAGATAGAATTCTGAATACAGCTTTTATTGTGACCTGACTGTGCATCTTCATTTCCTGAACTACATAGGTTTACAAACATTAACCACATCAAGTAGTCTTTTTTAAATTGTAAAATATTCCTGTAATGATTTTTGACATTTTATGACGTCATTGCAAAATGTTAATGTTATGATTCTTTGATGTTTAATTATTTTCAGGTAAAGTTAATATAATGTCAGCTGCAATAATGAATGCTGCAATAGCTCCTTCAGGAGACAAATATATCAATTCAAAGTGGCAATCTGGCTTAACTTTTTTTTCATGGATTAGGGTATAGATGGGAATAGTCAGGATCTCTGCCAGTATAACCATTTGGGAGGTTTTGCCCTTATAACAGTTGTCATTTTCTACAGAAAATAAATGGAAATCTAACATTTTACAGTTCTCTTAAAAATAGATTGAAAATCTCCAAATGGGATGCCAGCTGCAGTAAAAATTGCTGAAGTTGTGATTTCTTAGTTTCCCATAAAAAATGCTTTTAACAAAGCTTGTTTCATTATGCAGCAAAATATCGCTCAGTTGTTCTCTATCTCGAGGAAGTGTAACACTGAAAATTTAAATATTAAAGTGCAAAGTTAAAAAAATGGTAAAAACCTGAAAGATTGCAAAATTATTCAGTGAAAAATTGGTAAAATTATTCCAATTCCCCCTTTTAAAATAACAGATTAAACTAGCGTTAAGCCAGCATAATTTATCTAAAAAACATTTTGGGAGAGATAATACATTTATAAAATAGAAAATTCTTCTACAGAGCAGATAACACTAGATTTACTGAATTATGCAAAACATGTATGCCTACAGCAGCTTTTATAAACCCCTTATTTTTGTAAATATGAAATGGTGAAATCTTGTCCTTTAGGAAAGACATTGGTTCCCAGTCTTGGGAACCTGGAGATGTTAGTTTTTGGATCTGAAGATCTGATATTGAGAACAACTGAAATTGTAAAAAGTGCAATTAAAAATTTACCCTTACACTAAAGGATTGCCCCAAAAAATCTCCCCCAAACTGAACACTCAACGAATCTGAAGAGCCAAAGCAGTACTACAAACAAGGCAAATCTGTCATAAAATAAAACCCTGCTTTCAGGTATAAATACAATAAGCAGCTATTTGTAGCAGCCTTCGAGTCCCTGCTACTACACCACCACCTGCTACTTCTGATGAACAAAGCTCCTACACTAGGTCTAGGAGAGTTCATGTGTACATGAGGCGTAAGGCTTCTTGTACATGAGCCTACCCTGACCGCCGTCCTGCGGGAAAACACAAATTGCAGCAAAAACGCGGTACTGCGTTGTCGCGGTTTTGCCGCATTTTGCGTTTTCTCACAGTCGGTTGTCAAAATATTCCTATCCTGAACGTGATTCTTTCGTGTTCATGAGAGGGAGGTTTAACCTCATCTAAACGCAGCAGCTCCTAAACTCTGGTAAAAGCCTATGTGCACATTGACATATAGGCTTTTATTGAGTTGAGTTTAGGAGCTTTGACAAAAAAATGCCAAAAAACTCCCAAACTCGAGTTTAGGAGCTGCTTGTGTACATGAAGCCTTACGCCTCATGTACACTGCTGGTCCTTAATGTCAGTTTAGGAGCTTTTGGCGCTTTTTGCCAAAGCCCCTAAACTCAACTCAATAAAAGCCTATGTGTCAATGTACACATAGGCCTTTTACCAGAGTTTAGGAGCAGCAGAGTTCTGGAGCAGTTGAACCCTCTGTAGCAATTGTGCACACAGAGATGGATGCGGTCATCCATCTTGCTAAAGATCCCCCATCTTGTTTCAGTCTCTCTCCCTTCAATCCCCCTCCCTCAGGAATGTGGTCTGTATGTATGCTGAGATCACAGGCATCAGGCCCAGCGGGGGGTAGCTTCATGGTTTTAAACCCCAATTAGCCTGGGCCCAGTATGTCTGTGAGACTCTTGCTCTGAAGCTAATCGTAAAGCCATAAACCAGTCCTTTACTGGACTTCAAATGCATTCTGGGATAGCGTAAAACAGACATCACATTTAAAACCCACTTTTCCATATAATTTCATATCTGGAGATAGGAAATTATTACAATCAAACAAAGCATATCTTCGGATAGCTCAGTTTAATGCAAGTCGCCTGATATCTTACACCCCTAGTTAAAGTCTACAGGAGAGCAGAAAGCCGTATAGTTCTAGCTGAAATAGTAAGATATGCGATATTTGATGTCTGAACGTTCAGGATATCATTCTGCATATTAATCTACTAGTGGCTAGGCTGCTACATGCACCTAGGGAAGGTTATTGACCATGATATAAACTGAGAGTGATTTGGTCATAGCCTGAGTTTCCCCGCCTAAACACCCCTCCCCAAATGAAGCCATTGGTTCTCTGCTGTAAGGAGACACCCTGCTGGGTTCCTAGAAAAAGGCCCTTAGGTTTGGAGAAGTAAGATGAAGAGATCTCCCTTTTAACATCAGGAACCAACTTGGGAGACGGTACCCTTTTGTTCATGAAACTTGATCTGCTTAAACCAAGGCTGACAGCAAGTATTCTACCTCACTAAACTTCTTTCTGTTATCTCTCTGCTGTGGTATTGCTCTCTGTATTTATATATATATTGGCTACATCTTTTTCTGCAAATATTTTTATTGCACCATTTTGACCTTTTTAGTAATAAATCCTATTTTCTGAAAAGTGTTGAACTGTTTCTAAAGCTATTTTAATGCAAACTAAGAATGCCTGTCTCTGAAGATCGCTACTGTGTGTTTTAAACTT